CTGGGCACAGTGGCGCACACCCGTAATTCCAGCACTCTGGGAGGCAGAGGCAGGCAGATCCCTGAGTTCGAGGCCAGCCTAGTCCGTGACAGTCAGGATTACACAGAGAAACCCTGTCTCAAACAAACAAACAAACAAACAAATAAACAAACAAACGAAATGAAAAAAAAGTTGTGATCTCTCTCCGAGAGGACAGGAGTTTGGTTCCCAGCATCCTTGTTGGGTGATTATGAGCTGGTTCCCGGGGTGTAGTGCTCTTCTCTGACCTGCACGGGCACCTGTATCACACTTACATAGACAGCATACATATACACATGATTTTTTTAAACAGCAAAAAAAGGAGAAAAAGACTAGTCAGAAAACGGAGAGAGAAAGCCGCGTGTGGTAAGCCCCTTCACCGTCAGATGTGGCAGATCTCACTCCACCAAGAAATATTAACTTTTACAACATAATCTTGACCTTTGTCCCACTGAGATGTGGAGCCACGTTTCTTCTTGGGTTTGGATGAGATTATGAGTCATTTATAACGAAAAGAATGTAAACAGTGGCCAGGAGGAGGCTCGGCTGGTGCAGCACTCGCTGTGGAGGCATGAGGACCGGCGTTAAACTCTCCAGCACCCGGGTAAGCCCCTGGGAAGATGTGCCTGTGATTCCAGCACTGAGGAGCTGAGAGCAGGCAGAGCCCCGGAGCCCCCCTGCAGCCAGACAGCCCAGCCCAGTCCCAGGGCACTGGGTTCAGAGAGGGACCCTGTCTCCAAAAATAGGATGAAGGGGCTGGAGAGAGATGGCTCAGCCATTAAGAGTGCTTACTGTTCTTGCAGGGGACTCGGAGCTGAGGTCCAGCACCCACATGGTGGCTGTAACTATAGCTCCAGAGGACCCCATGCTGTCTCTTAGCCTCCCGAGGGCACCAGGCTTGAATGCAGTGCATACGGATCCATGCAGGCAAAACATACCTCCACGAAAAATAGTAAATAAGTCTTTTTTTTAAGAAATCAGTGACAATCTCAAATGGTACCTTGAAAAATAAAGTGGGGAGCTTCGAAAGAAAATACGTGATGTCAGCTCTAGTCTTCATGTCCCCCATGTGCATGTCCACACACAGGAAGCACAAACTTATGCTCGCATTAATGTAGACCAGAGTGATATTTCAGAAAGGCAAGGCATTTCTGTTTATGGAAGCACTTCACTGTAACCTCAAACTGCTGTGTCAGCATTCTGAAGCCACCATACTGTGAGGAAGCCCAGAGAGAGAGAGAGAGAGAGAGAGAGAGAGAGAGAGAGATGTTTGGTCATCCCCTGCTCCAGCACCACCCTTGACCCCTGCGATACTGTTTCACTCTTACTTGTTCACTGACAACTGTCTGCTACTAGTGGTACTGCATGACCCAGAACCACCCAAGATCTTCTAAACTCCCCACACTAAGACATTAAAAGACAATTACTAGAATGAGGCCCAGTGACACAGACTCATACCCTGGAGACTGAGCTTCATAAAATCCAAGACCTTCTTGAGTTGTAGAGGTTACTGAAGGCCAGACTGGTCCATTTAAAGGGTAAAGGGACCCTGTATCAGAAATATGAACTTTTATTTTTTTGTTGTTGTTGTTTTCCACAGCACCCACAATGCCTTGGGTTCCATCACTAGTACTGCCAAAAACCCAAAGAAACAAAACAATTGCTGGGCTTCATAGTTTATGCTTATGATCTCAGCACTTGGGCAGTAGAGGCAGGAGGACTGCTATAAATTCATGCCCAGCCTGGTCTATATACAGTGCCAGGCTAGCCAAACAGTGGTTACTAAATGCCTAAGGGACTAGTTTCTGAAGTATTTCCCGTCAGTATTTGTCAGGACACAAAAGATATCTAAAGTCTCATTTATTAGGATAGCTTGATACCGGCACACAAATAGACACGTGGATAGAGCTGAAAAGAAAATGCAGAAGTGAACATCAATAAAGGCAGGAGTTCAGGGTTCATAAACCGTGACACCCCAGGCTTTTTAACAAAGGTGTCACGACACCCCGGCCAGTCTGTTTTCTTTTTTTTTAAGTGTTATAAAGTATATAAAGCCCAAGTATGTTGGAAATTTAGACAAATAAAAATAAATCCATTAGAAGAGCTAGAAGAAAATTTAAGTCAATTCTTCTATGACTTTAAGCTGGGTGAACATTTCTAAGTAAAACTCACAATCTATCAAACTTCAGTTTAATACAAATTGAAACACCTAAAAGGCCACATATATACATATGTATGTGGATATATCCACATACCTATTTTGCCTACAGAAGAATAAAGCAAAAATTAGTGTAAAGATAACTCCACTTTCCACGTTTATTTTCTTGAAAAAAGGCAAGAAGTGTTCACTCTGCAATGAGAACACCGAGGCATCCCAGCTGTAGCACTTAGTTCTACTTTGGAGCATTATTTTCTTAATTTCTTCTTCTTAGTTTAAAAAAGCAAAAAGGCCATTGGCTGAGTCCACTGTTTTCCAAGTGACTCACAGGAACAGAGAGCACCCACAGCTGGAATTCCTCTCTTTTCTGAGAACACGCACTCGGTGATACATGGCGTCTTGTGCGCCTTCTTTTTGTTCTTGCTTTTAGAATTGGTTTTATTTTTTTTTTAAATTTGTATTCTGTGTGTGTGTGGTGCACATGCACAGGGGCCCCCAGGGGTCAGAGAGTACGTCAGGTCCCTGTGGCTGGAGCCACCAGATGCTGGATGCTGAGAACCAAACTTTGGCCCTGTGGAAGACCAGCAAGAGCTCTTAACCTCTGGGCCAGCTGTCCAGCCTGTTGTGTGCCTTCTTGGACTATTCTCAGGACCTTAGACTGCTTGTAAAAATATAACGGAATATTTTTGGAAATGTCTGTGAATTTTAGCTTTCCATGTAGAAAAGGCACCCAGTTTTCCTACTAGTTGCATTGAGAGCACTTTGGGTGAAGTTGTTATGCAAGTTATGCAGGAAAAAAAAAGTTGTTGAGATTTTGGGCTGGATTAAGAGACTATTGGGGGGAAATAAAATGGATCTTCCCAAAATTCCCTCCCAAACTGGCATCAAGGGCCTGGGGATATGAGCTCTGGATGGGGTGGGAGCCTGGATCAGCATCCTCGGCACAACCAAAACAAAGCAAGATTGACAGCAAGGCCTTGCCTGACTGAACAGAGGTCAGATTGGTTCTCTTCCATGTAACTGAGACTCCTCCCAGGCAAACCTGCCGGGGTGGGGCAGGTCACCCAGGCATCTGTGCGGTTCATTTTAAAAAGAAATGGGGCAGGAGTCATGTCTTTACTCCTGGGAGAAGCTAAGGTGCACAGACTCTGTAAAGGCAGCATGGGAGGCTGCCTGCTGCTTTCCTTCCTCTGCCCAGTTACGTTCTCATCTTCTAAAGCATGCCCCGTGTTTCAGCTTCCAGAACATTTTGAAAAGTATTTAAGATATTTGTTTGCTATGTACAAACCCAAAGCTGGTGTTTTTTAATATTCCATCCTTGCATTAACTCTGCGTGTATGTGGGTACAGATTGCTAGTGTGTACTAGTGTGTGTGTGTGTGTGGGCGTGCGTGCACCCAGTACTTCAAGCATACTATGTAAGTGCTCTATCACCATGCTACAGTCCCAATTTCACAACTGCTTTTTGTTTGTTTGAGACAAGGTCTCTTCATGTAGCCCTGGCTGGCCTGGAACTCACTGTGTGGACCACACTGACTTTGAACTCCCTCCCAAGTGCTAGGATTAAAGGCCACTGTGCCTGGCACACAACTGCATTTTGAAGGGCAGGGTAAATGATATTGTCCAAACGACGTTATGAAATTAATTTTAAGGTCACAAAAAGCAATGTGTTAACCAGATGTCTAAGTGCTGTCTTTGCCTGAAAAAGCAACTTTATGAATAAACCACCTTTCTGGTTGGTCAGCAAAGAAAGGGGAAAGCACACATGTTCTTGTCAAATGAGAAGAAAAAGAAAATAATTTCAAAAAGGGTTTTTTTATTGTTTTTTTTTTTTTTAGGTTAATAGTTGGTAACAGTAGGACTTCCCCTTGATCTCAGCAGCAACCAAAGATGTATCATCACTTGGAAAATGAGTTTTGTTTTTCTTCCAGGAAATAACTATAGAGAAAGGAAGCTGGTCAGCAAACATTCTTGGGATACCAGGCTGAGGCTGTGTTCTGAGGTTAGAAAGTGAGTGAGTGTGTATTGTGTTATTGTGTGTGTGTATGTATGTGTGTGGGGGTGTCTGTGTGTCTGTGTATGTGTGTTGTGTTTTTCTGGTCTGAAAAAATGAGGCAGGTGTTTGTGACAAGCTGTGACGAGGACCGTTGTGTTTTTCCTTGTTAGAAAAAAGAAAGAAAGCAAAAAGCAAGCTTCTAAAAACAAGCCCTTATTTAAAGGAAGCCCCAGTTAATTCAACGAGGCATTGAATGAAGTCCCTATTATACAAAGTCCTTGACAAAGGCTATTTGGCTCTGGGAGTGTTATGAGGCCAGAGGCTGAAATCAACACCCAGAACAGGGCTCTGATGGTTTGGAGCTCAGAACTGATTCACAGTGCAAACCTGAGGTGTGTACCTACAAAGCACAGGAGCCACCTCTGAGGTACAGCCTGAGCCTTTGAATTTTTGAGACAGAATCGTCATGTGTCCACCAGCCTGGCCTCAAACTTTGGCTCTTTCCCTGTGTCCACTGGAGAGCTGGGATTATATCGGCCCACTATAAAGCAGACTATGCTTTTTTTTTCGACCTTGGTTGGAACGAAGTTTACCTAGTAAGATAAACAGTCTAACGCCAGAACACCAGGTGACACAGAACTAAGGTGACACAGCTAACAAGTCCTGCATGTTCCCAGTGGACAGCATGACCTTCTGGCTGGAGAGGAGGCATTCTAAAGAGACTGGCTCTTCCCTTGGTTACCTGCCTATTAAAACTTCCCTCCAGACACCCCGCGCTAGCCACGGTGTACGCCAGAGGAGGACCTTGCCTCCCGGAGACTTCACAGTCTGAAATTTCCTTTTCTTTTTAATTGGGGCTGGAGAGATGGCTTAGTGGTTAAGGGCACTTGGAGCTCTTGCAGAGGACCTGGGCTTGGTTACCAAAATTCACAGGGTAGGCAGTTCAAAACAGTCTGTAATTGCAGTTCAGTGAGGATCCTATACCCTCTTCTGGCTTCAGCAGGCACTGCACAGCCATGGTGAAATTGTATCCGTGCAGGCAAAATCCTCATACACACAATTCCTAGCATCCACATGGTGACTCACAATTGTCTGAAACTCCAGCTCCAGGGAACTCAGCATCTTTTTCTGGCTTCTGAAGGCACCAGGCATGCGTGTGGTACACACAGACAAACACCAATGCACCTAAAATTAGAATAAAAATTTAAAAACTGTATTCAATTTGTTATGGTGATTTGTGTGTGTATGAGTGTGTGTGAGATGTGTGTGGTGTATGTGTGTGATATATGTGTGTGTGCATGAGTATGCCGTGGCACATGCGTGTAGGTCAGAGGACAAAGTTTGGGAGTTGGTTCACTCTTTCCACTGCAGGTTTTGGGGTTGAAAATCAAGTTGTCAGGCTTGCAAGGCAAATGCTTTTATTCCCTGAGCCATCTCATGGGGCCCAAGTCTACACATAGTTCTGAAAACTTACTGGACCACTGTGTGGAACAGACTGAAGCTGAAATAGTAAAAATGCTAAGATCACGCCTTGACCAGACTGCTTAATTCTGCACAATTATTTGCTTAATTAACTGCTTAATTCTCTTTCCTTTGTTCAAGCCTAAATCTCATATCAGTGACTGCACACAGAACTCCTTATTTCTCTTCCAGGGTGTGGCCTACTAGAATAAAACTTTTTGCTTTGCTAGGTGATGGTGGTACAAATCTTTAAGCCCAGCACTTGGGAGGCAGAGGCAGGAGGATCTCTATGAGTTCAAGGCTACACAGAGAAACCTTGTTTAGGGGTAGGGGGGAGAAAAAAGATAGAGAGAAAGAGAGAGAGAGAGAGGGAGGGAGGGAGGGAGGAAGGAAGGAAGAAAGAAAGAAAAAAAGAAAGAAAGGAAGGAAGAAAGAAAGAAAAAAAGAAAGAAAGGAAGGAAGAAAGAAAGAAAAGGAGAACGAGAGAAAGGGAGAGAGAGAAAGAAAGAAAAGCTAAAAGAAGCTGTTTGCTGTTGTCTCTTTTAATTGGAGTGTTAGAGACTGGTGGGTGTGGCTGGCTTGTTAGGAGGCCAAAGCTCAGACTTGCACCTGAGAACTCTTGTGACACCAGAAAAAGGTGGTGTCTACACCTCAAGGACTCTCAGTCATCTGAGGTCGGTTTCATTCTTTATTTCCAGATGAGGAAACAAATGGTCCTCAGCTTGGTTACACAGAGAAACTCAACTTTTACCCCCTGTGTTCAGGTCAAGAGCTAGAGAGTAACTGTGTAACAGGCCCACTAGACTGTGTTCTCTGGAGAACAAGTGGGTTAGAAGTCTCTGCCAGCACTCACAGGAAGGCTACTACCTTCTGTATAACACACACACACACACACACACACACACACACACACACACACCCCTCCCACCTTCGCCATGATTTCAGAAAACCAATTCCTATAAACTCAGAAAGCATGGGAAATTTTGTCCTTAAAATAACAACAACAAAACAAACAAACAAACAAAACCAACCGATTCAGCTCTGGCAGGGTGGGGTGAGGCCCCTGAGAAGGAAAAGGCAGACCAGGGGAGACGGGCTGGCAAGAACTTCAAGGGCATCCTGCCTCTAAGTTATTCCAGGTCACTCTGAAAACCTAGAACCACTTGCACCCAATGGCACATGACACAAGTGACCTATTGTCCTTTTTTTTTTAAATCTCAAACAACAGCGAGCCTTCTTAGCATGCAGAGCACATTTTGTGAGGGAATGCTGCCACCAGGCTCACAGTCACAAATGCATCCCTTGCAGGATCTGTAGGCTGGAGTGTGTTCTGGCCACTCAGTCTTCCTTGATCTTGATGTGTTGGTTTACAGCAAGAGGTGATGACAAGCCCACTTGGGGCTCATGGCGGCAGCACAAGGAGATACAGGACGGTTGGAAGGCAGCGCCCCCGCTCTGCCCTCTCCTGACTGCCTTTTCCCTGTAGGCATGGTGACACTTTGCTATCTGGCCTCTGCCCCTGTCCTAAAGAAGGCACCTACTCTGTGTTGTTGCAACTTCATACAGCAAGGGCTTCCTGCACCCATGGGGAGACCACCTCCTCCCTCGTGTAAGTGGCATCTGCTACTAGAGGAGTTCTGCCTGTGGGCCCTCAGGTAGACACCCACTTTCTTCCTTTCCCTCCATGATTGCAAGAAGGCAGCAAACATGACTATTCCTATTGTACAGGAGCCGGGGAGGTGGGCCGTGCAGGGCGACGTGCTGGCACCTCTGTCTAGCTGCTTTTCCAAATGTGGCCACTTCTATGGATTCATGTCTCAGGTGGAGGTGACATTTCCTGTCACAACGGCTGAATTCTTCTGCTCCCACTAGGCCTGACTACTGCACAGGTAACTAACGTGGGGGTGGGGGAGGGTCAGCGGGATGCCACAGTTTCACTGTGCACTTTAAAGGTTGACTGTGGATTTCTTTTATCAACCTGGTGGCATTGGAGTTTCCATGGAAACAAATCTCCGAGTTTCTCTGTGAGAGGCTATCTAGATTAGGAAGACCCCCATTAAAAACTGGTGGCTGCATCCCACCAGCTTGGGGACCTGGACTGAAGCAAGGTGACAGTGACCTGGGTGTAGCCACACATCACGCTCTGCTTTCTGACTGGATATGACGTGACCAGCTTGCCTCCTCTTCCTGCCAAGAGGGACCAAACTGCCTGGAACTGTAAGCCAAAAGAAGCCCTTCCTGCCTTGGGTTGCATTTGTCCAGTATCCCGAAGCATCAGAACAGTCACTAATACCACGTGTGCTGTTTAGATCTTTTTCAATGTCAGATGAGGCTGGCGAGGTGGAGCCAGGAACTGCTGACAGAACTGGCTCGAGAACCCGGGTGAGGAATCTGATGTGGCAACACTCCATGAGATAATTTTGCTGTAGTTTCAGGGTGGTGTGGCTCGGGACATCTGAGGCTCAGCAAACGCTTCCTCAGTGCTTCCTGGGTTTTGAGTGAGGAAGAAAGTACCAGAAGCCGGGGCCTTGAAATGTTGCCCCTGGACTCTGGTCTCTTGGGGGTGGGGCGGGGATGTGGGTGAGGGGTGGGAGGGCTTCACTGGGGGAAGATCCTTTCAGTTATCTCATGCTTTGATTTCTCAGTGATAACTGAACCAGAGGGCTTCTTGCTCGCTTTCTTCTTTTAAGACAGGCTCTAACTATTACCCTGGCTGGTCCACCTGGAACTCTCAGAATGTTGGCGATGGTAGGTCAGAACGGGGTGGGGAAAAGCCACCCTTTACGGAAAATCCTAGTGTCTTCTTAAAGTTGTTCCCAGGTTCCAGGAAGGCTGGACATGACTGGAAGCATGGAAGCCAGCAGCTTTCTTCCAATGGCTTCATCCACCATCCACCATTCCAAAGCAGCATTACGAACAGTAGAACAGAGATCCAAATAGAGTTGGACCGGCCAGCACGAGCTTTGTTGTTTTAACCTAGAGCAGCTGGTGGAATTCTGGCTATGCATCCATTCAGCAGGTTAACCCTGAGCAACTGCCAGGGCCAGGCTGATGTGTGCACCTCCGGCGGAGGAGGAGGAGGGAGGAGCGTACACCTTCACTGTTTTGCTCTTACCACCTTCTTAAAAGGATCCTGCCAGCTAGGCAAGCTGGCTCAAACCTGTATTCCCAGCACTTGGTTGGTGGAGGCAGAAGGATCAGGAAATTCAAGGTCAGCCTTGGCCACATAGTGAATTTGAGGCCAGCCTGCATGAGACCCTGCTGAAACGAACGAACAAACAAACAAACCAACAAACCCAGAAACAAATAAACAAGGGGCTGTACACATCCTCCAGGCCTAGGACTCCCAGATTAGAAGTCATGGCTGCTGCAAGGAGGGACCAGGTCTAAGAAGGAACCCAGTGTTCAGAGGGGTGCAGGGCTTCTCACCTTTTGCATGCTCAGCACCCATGCTGAGCTTGGACAGCATTCTGAGCTTCCTCTAGGAAATACGATCATGCCTTTGAAAAGAAGCGATCCCTATCTGTCACTCCAAATGGCTGTGAGGAACAGAACACCGGGACAGGATGATGGGCTGTGTAACTCATCTAGTGCAGAAAGAAGTAGCCGGGGTATAAAGAAATAGCTGGAAAAGTACTGCGCGGAGAGTCGGAAGCCTGCTTTGAACTCCAGCTTTATTGATCAGGGGAGCTTTGGAAGGCTCTCCTTAGAGCCATGATTCAGAAGGTGAGCCTCATACTTCAGATAAGAGTGAAACCACCATTGTTCTGCAGGTCCCGCCTCAGGACCACACCAACGTTTATAGCCCTGGGCCTGTCTTAATGAGAATTGCATCCCCAGAGCAACCTTAATCTCTGGGTGCTGCCATCCACCCACCTCTTCCTGTCTTCCACATAACCTCTTCAGTTCACCGGTGTCTGGCCCTCGAGTTGAAGGCTCTTACTGCCTTTTCTGTCTTCCCCACTCTCCTCATTCTGTATCCTGACCCAGATGGCCTGCCCGTCATAACCACTGCCTTGCTAAAGCCAAGTTCCTTTGCCCCTCGCTCACTCACTTTGTCATCTCTGCCTGGCCAATCCCCAGTCCTGACTCAGGCCCTTCCTTCAGCTTCTCCCCACCCGCTCTTGAAATGACAGAAAAATGAACAGTCACTCGCTGGCGGTTAATCTCCGCTGTCAAGATGACAGGATTAGAATCACCTGGGAGAGAATGCGAGGCGTGTTTGGGATGCTGTTTCCAGGGAGGTTTAGCTGAGGAGGGAAGACCCACCCAGAAAGCGGGTGGCACCTTCCCATAGGCTGGAGTTCCGGACTCGCTAAGAATTCTGGGGAAAAAAGAGCCGGCGAGTGGAGCGCTGGGTTTCACCTCTCTGCTGCCTAGCTGTGTGGGGACTGTGTGATCGGAACGCAGTGTAACCAGCCGCTTTCTGCTCGCAGCGCCGTGCCTTTCCTCCGTGACGGACTGTGTCCCTTTCTTTCAACTGTTACCCAAAATGAATTCTTTCTGTAAGCCGCTCTTGCCAGGTATTCAGTTACAGCCATGAGAGAACTACTAAACCAATCACCCAGTGAACCTGTTTCCTCTCTCTTCCCCGGAATAATAAATTCTCACCCTTTCTTCTCTCCTCCAACTTCAGTCTCTCCTTTTGCCACCCTTCCTTCACATCGCTTCCTATTGCTCAGGGAAAACAGACACCAACAAAGAACTCCCTGAAGCTTGCCCCTCAGCCCTGATGTATTTAGGTCACCTCTTGTGACTCAGAGGGCCTCTTTCCAAAGCCAGTTCTGTGCACCTGGCCCCACCTTCTCAGATGCCTCCTCAGGGATCTTCCCACTCTGTATCATCAAGTTCCTCCCAGTCTCTCCCGAATTATTCTGATCAGCATACAGACAGGTCCCACCGTTTTTCTTCGCCTTCAAAGAAAACAGCAGCTTTCCTCCACTTTCAGCCCCTTCTCCAGTGTCTGCTCTTTCTCTCTGCTCCTTTGTGGCAGAATTTCCTGAAGAAGCAGTCTCTGGTTTTCTGTTTGCGTGCACATGCACCCGCCAACCAGGCTGTTGCTCCCAGCACACCGGAAGAACAGCTCTGGTCAAGGTGTTTGAGACTCCCTATTGCCAGATTCAAAGGTCGGTCAATGTGCAGCCCATAGCTTAGTTGACTTACTTACAGCATTTTACTAACCAAGCCCTCACCCTTTAAATGCTTTGTTCTCTGGCCAGGGCGCCTCTGTCACGGGTTTGCCTCTAGCACCACACCAGCCCCTCCCTGGCTCCCTAGTCTCCTGGTCTGTTTCCCCTCTTCTCCCTGACCTTTACTCCTGGCACACTCTAGAGTTTTTTCTCTCACCTGCTCCTTGGCTATCTTGCCCAGACACATGGATTTTTTTTTTTTTCTGGTTCCACATTTTGCTAGTTCTCAAACATACATGTTCAGAACTGCTACATCCAGGCTACTTCACGCTGTACATACTGTATTTCCAGGATGTTTTTCAGATATCCAAACTGAGGGCCCTGGCAGCATGGGTTCTTCCTTATCCTGTCCCACTCCAATCTTCCTGCTTTGGGTAAGTGGCAGCTCTAATCTTCAGGATGAAATCTTGATTTCTATCTTTTTTTTTTTTGGTCAAATCCAAAATTCAGTATGCAAATCTTATTGACTTTTTGGTCAAATTATGTATACTATGAAGCATTTTCTCTATTTCCTCCTGGCTTCCCTGAGGCCACATCTACTCTTGCTTAAATCCTTGCATCAGCCATCTCTCTGGCCTCCCTGCTTCTACCCTAGCTCCTCAGTTCACAACCACAATGGATGTGTCGCCCTCCGGAGAAGTGGACTCATGCTTCTCTGAGGCAGTGGTATTCACTTTTCTCACCTCCCTTGCCACACTCCACCCAGCAGCATCTTTCCCGTTGCTTGGGCAAGCCAGCCATGCTCTCTACTGGTTTCTGTCCCCCCAGACGTTGACATAATCACGATCTCATTTTGTCTAGCCCTCCCTCTCTAGTGTGAGCTATGGTTTGAGTCTGAAATGCCTCCCACAGTCTCAAAGGCTTGCTCCTCAGCTTGTGGGGCTATTTTGAGGAGCTCTCAAAACTTTGAGGAAGTGGGGCCTACCTGGTAGGCCACAGGGTTACTGGGGAGTGTGTTGTCCTGTCTGCTTCCTGTCTGGGTTCAGCTGCCAGGAACAGGTTCTTCAGCCACGCCCTCCCTGCCATCATGGACTGAAACCCTCTCAAACTGTGATCCCAAACGGACGGACCTTCCCTCCTTGACGTTGTTATTGCCAGGTAATGTGGTCACAGTGATAGAAAAGTAATTAATAAAAAAATAAATAAAAATCGTGAGGCAGCAAGATGGCTGCCTGCTACCAAGGGACCTGCTACCAAGCCTGATGATCTGAGTTTGATCCCTAGAACCCACACGGTAGAAGGGTGGAGCTGGCTTCCGAAAGTTGCCCTCTGACTCCCCCAAGCGTGCTGTAGTGCGTGTGTGTGAGCGCTCGCCTGTGGGCACAAAAATATTTACAAATAAAATGTAATCGTTGTTGTTGAATGTTATAAAATTTTTGTATCAGAAGTGGGGTGCTACTCTGAACAAATCTAACCATGTGGCTTTTAGGCTTTTGGAACTGGTTTTTGGAGGGAATTTGGAAGCATTTGGAGAAGCAGGCTACAGAAGCCCTAAAATGCACTAAGCAGACTTTAATGGTGATTTTGGTGGGGCTTCAGAAGCCGGAATCCCGGCAAGAGTGTGGACGATAAAGGCTGTGCTTGTGCAGCTTCAGGTGGGAACAAGAACTTGACTGTGACTTTTCCTGCTACATCCTAGCAAAGGATTTGTCTGTATTTTTCCTGTATTCTGAAAAACTGAGTGAGAGTTAGTTCACAAGTAATGGACTAATTTAGCAGAGAGAACTCCCAAGGTGGCATAGCATTCAAACTGTAGCGTGGCTTTTGCTGACTGATTGTAGTTAGGTTTACAGTGAGAATTGGCAACAGGTAGCAGAATCGGGGAGACAGTGCTACCACGTGTTCTACTCTAACGACTCCATCTAAAGAAGCGTTTTTCCAGGTTTGGCCACCCAGACGTTTTTCTGCAACCATGGTCCAATGGTACATGGCAGCTGCTCAAGCTGGCGCTAGACTTTCTTACCATACATCTAGGGCTGCGTTAGGGAGCTAGCTGTATGATCATCCTTAAAGACTCCAGAGAAGACCCCACGAGGTCAGGCAATGTATAATAGGGGGTTGGAGTCCCTACAAGGTATCTATGGACCCATGAAGAGAGCCCCAAGTTGCAGTGGATGTGTGAGATGCCAGGAATGTGGGTGTCTGCTCAAGAGAGCTGCAGGTACCAAATGGAGCCAGACCAGGAGAGAGGCCCGGTGTGCTGAAAACAGCACAAGCCACAGAGACAGTGCTGCCTAGGACTGTTGGAGCTCACACCATGATATGATGTCCCTGGATGTTGGTCATGGAGCTATGGGGCTTAATATTTGACTTACTGGCTTTGCTTTGATAAAACCCTTTCTTCTTATACCGTATTCCTGTCTTTTTGAAATGCAATGTTGACTGGACCATTGTACACTGGAAATTTATAACCCGTTCCTTTACCCTCAGGGGTTCATAGCTAAGGGATTATTTTGAGTCTCAGGAGAGACCCCACATAGACTTTTGAATAATGTCGGAAATGTTAAGATCGTGTGGACACTTGAACTAAGTTTTATATTGTAAGACTCTACCCGGTAAGCCTTTGGGGGCTGGGGTGGAACGGTACGGTTCGGCTGTGAAATGTCTCTCACAGGCTCATCGTTTGAATGCTTGGTCCTCAGCTGCTGGTATTCGTTGGCGAGGTTCTGAAAGGTTTGGAAGGTGGAACTTATGTGGGGGAGGGAGGTTTCCTAGGTCCTTGAGGGTGGGTCCTTCCTGCCCACTTCCTGTTTGATGTCTGCTTCTCGGTTCACGTTGATACAAACAACCTCTACCACAAGCCCTCACCGCCATGCCTTGACCAACTGGCACACGTTCCCCATTGTGATAGACTGAAACCATCTGAAACAGTGAGTCAAAGCAAGTCCTTCCTCCGCTGGGTTGTTGCTGTCAGGTGTTCTGACACAGCAACAGTAAAGTGACGAAGACTAATCCTTTCTCTTCCTGCCATGTTCACATGAGGCCATTACGTTGCTTTTTACCTTGTTAAAAAAAAAAGCATTTATTTTATTGTACATGTATGACAAGGTTTTGCCTGCATGCGTCCCTATGTATTGGGTGCACGCCTGGTGCCTGTGGAGGTCAGAAGAGTGTCAGATCCTCCAGAACTGAAGTTATGGGTGGTTGTGAGTTACCACATGGATGCTGGGAATCGACCCCAGGCCCTCTGCCAGAACAAGTGCTCTTAACCACTGAGCCATCTCTCCCGCCGCTATTTTACTTTCCTCGATAGTACTCGCCGATCTCTGAACTAGCCTTATTTCTATGCTGGTCTGTTGTCCATCACTGCTGTGGAAGCCCGGTGGAGGCAACTAGCTCAGAGCTTACTGCAACGGCTGCCAGGCCGTCCGTGGAAGGTTGTAGTGCGTCAGAGCTCCTGGCTGAATGTGCCAGCGGAGTTGCTGTGTATTTTACTTATTGGGTGGCTGTGGCTCTGTGGTGTGCGTTCAATAAATATTCTTGGGATAAAGGACGGACGGGTGTGTGGACCATTTGTTTATTTCCCTTGCCAGTTCACATCTGTTCTCTTCTCAGGGCCTCATTCTCTTCATTTGGCAAGGGGGTGATTAACATCGATCTCATGGGATGGTTCTGAGAACTAACCATCCACTCAGAAGTTGGCACTGAGCTGGCTGTGGTGGTGGTGCACACTTTTAATCCCAGTACTCCGGAGGCAGAGGCAGGTAGATCTCTGTGAGTTTGAGGGCAGCCTGGTCTACATAGTGAATTCAAGGTGAGTCGGGGCTACATAGCGAGACCCTATCTAAATGAAATAGGTAAGTGTATGTGGCACAGATAACATGACATTTATACAAAATATCCAGAAAAGGCAAACCCACAGAGACTGAAAGAGCGTGGGGCCGCTGGAACTGGGGCAGGGAACACAGTAAGTGGCTGCTTCCTGGGTGTGAGAACGTCCATGGTGTGAGAAAAGTACTACGCCTACACCAAGAGCCGCACAGCATTATGGTCCCAAATGTTACGGAATTCCATGCTTGAAGGTGGCTAACGGTGGGTTTTAGGTCTCGAGACTAGTGTCATGCTTTATACATTTACATAAAAACAAATACAGCCCTCTCTCCAGCTCTGCCCTGCTGGCCCTGGACCCTGGAGCACGCATGCCTGAGCACCAGTAGTACAGGCATTCCTCTGCAGCCTCTGGTACTATGCTGGGCACTGGCAGCCCAGAGAACCCCTGAGGCTGTCTTCCCCCCCATGGGAGAACGTCCAGGTGGCTACTGGAGGCAGGCTGGGCAGGAATGAGCCCAAGATCCTGACAATCACTGATTCCAAAGGTGTCCCAAGCTGTGCTGGCCTGGGGTAGAGGTGAGACTTAAGCTGTATCTTGAAGGACAATGGATGGAGGCAAAGGGAAGCAAGAGAGGAGATCTAAGGGCCTGGCAGGTGGAGTCAAGGGGTTGGTTCATGAGACCCAGATGAAGGCTTGGAACCCATGAACACACACACGCACCCACGCACCATGTGCTAGCATTTTCAGGGGAGTTTGGAGCATGCTTGGTTCCCTCAGGCTCTGCTGCAGAAGGCTCTCTCCCCTGATGGTCCCATCTGGCTATTGCCTTTGCAGGTCTGTAAAACTCCCAGCTTCAACTTTGGACTTTGTACCGGCACTGGAAATCCATTTGTTTTTCGCTGCCGGTAGCAGGGCCTGCTGAGATCTGTCCCTTCGGGGACAGGCTGGACCCCTTCTTCCTTCCAGTTGCACTAATCCACAGCGCTGGGGCACTGGGGGAGGGTGCAAGCCTGCTTCCCCTCAACACTTGGTGAGACGTGAGTCCTCCCTGCTGAGCGCATTGCAAATCCTGGCTGCCGCCCCGCCTCCCCTTCACCTGCACTTCGGCCCCGCCCACCCCGCCACGGCTCCAGGTGAGTCAAGCTTCGGCCGGCCCCGCCCACCTGTCCAGGTTCTGCAGTCCCAGCCGGAAGCCACCTCCACGGATTGTGCACAGTGTCTGAAGGTGGGAGCGGAGAGGGGACACGGGGTTGTGGGAGAGGGTGCTCAGGTCTCTTCTGACCCAGGAAGAGCTCCTGTGTGTGCAGCAGAGAAACTAGATCCAGTCGGGGGGTAGGGGGGTTGTTACTGTGTCCTGGGTTGTGAAATGACAGCAGGAGGGGGATGGGCAGACAGGTGTGGGCTGTGGGTACAGAGCGTCTGGGGAAGTGACTTTTCGGATATCTCTGGAAAGAATTTACAGAGCAGGGCAAGGGCAGAGGGGAACAAGTGTGAGACCTTTGAGAAATCTAATTTAACTCATTGCAGTGTAACAAACTCTTGTCTTTTGAGTACTGGGTGCCTAGAGAGAGGTCCCCAGGAGGCAACCAAAGATTGCTTGCAGATGAATGAACAAACTAGGTCCGTTCCCTTTCTGAGGCTTCCATCTCCCATATGATCATTCCCTCTGCCCACGCCCCTGCACTCCTTTTACAAGCCTTGTGTACTGAACCCTGAAGTCCAGCGTCCCAGCCCCCAACCACAGGCAAACACCAGCCTACCCAGCCCTCTACCTCAGGGAAGTGTGTGGCTGGTAATGACCAGTTCTGACTGGATGCTGATGAGGCAGAGGTCACCTGTAGACCCTGGAGCAGTGGGACAGGGACAGTCTGGTTTGGCATGGAGGGATGAAAACTCAGAGTTTAGGGGTGTTTGGCCTGGGGGCGGGGGGCGGGTGGTGGAGTCCCATGCCGGAGTTTGAGTCCCCCACCTAAGAACAGGACATGTTTGGCCTATAGGGAGCTGTGGTGGTAGGCTCAGGGTTGGCTTAGGGAGTAGATTGGAGATGGTTAGACTCCTGTTGGGAGATGGAAGCTGGGGACGGTGACTGGAAGGACACAGCTGTGGCAGAGGGTAGGGAAGAGGGCTGAGTCACTGGAGTGAGGGCATCCTTTGAGTACCGCACTGAGGAGTGTGGCTGGGTACGCCCCTAAGCTGGGTGCTTCTGTCTCTTGCCTGCCCACTCTGCCCAGGGACACCTATGACTCTTGTCAGCCTCCAGCAGACACTGCCCAGCTGCAGCTGTCCTTCTCTCCCGTCCCTAGCCATGCCTCAGGTTCGCATCTCTCCACACACTGTTGACCTCCTTCAGAGGCGTCCAGGTCTAATCTTACACATGTGATTTTCTCCGTTGGCTCAGATGCCCTTCCCCAGCCCTGAGTGGCATGACCCTCATCTGCGTCTTTTCATTACTCAGGTGGTCCTCTGCAATAGTTCCCCAGTATAAACCCCACTGCACTGGCAGAATGTGGGCCCTCCACTGGGTAGAGGGGAGCTGACGGAGGCCACCAGAAGGACTGAGGCGTGGGGTAGGAGAGGCTCCTGAGGCAGGAGCAGAGAGGCATGGCTGCTCTGTGTGAAAAGAACTTTTAGTCACCTGGTTCAACTGTCTGGGAGGCTTACTGCCTCTGTCTGCTAACCTAGGCCTAGTCCTGGAAGCTTCTAACCTCTGTGCAATCCAACCTCTGAGAATTACCGTTTACTTTCAGCATTTCTATTACTGCTTAATAAGCTCATCCTTTCTTGCTCTTTCTGAGCTCATAGCTGACGGATTCACCTCAGCTGTTTCTGGCTCAAACTCCTCTCCCAACTTATTCAATCTGGCCTTTATCTTCGCCTCTGAATTGCCCTGCCTGGCTCAAACTAACTCAAGAAATCTCTAATGTTCTGGCTGCTTCTCATTCAGTCTTCACCTGAGTTCTCTCTCTCTGCAACCTGTCTCTCCATTGGTGTCCCAGTGAAAACTGTATCTTCTCCTCTTCCATCGCCCCTTAAGTAGCTTCCTTTTCCTCTCCTCATGAGAATGGGGTGTATCCCATTCTGTCAAGTCTTTCTCTGATTCGTCACTGTTTCTGCTGCTCAATTAGACATCACTTTCAAACATGGGTACTTCCTTCTAACTTTACCTTCATTGCTTGGGATTAAAGGTATGTACCACCACACCTGGACCTAACCTTTTCTTTACCTAAAACTATACCTTTACCTGCTCCATACCAGGCTGGCCTCAAACTCAGATCTGCTTGCCTCTGTCTCCTGGATTAAAAGCGTGTTTGTATTCCAGCCAGATCACACAGACCTAGAAATCTTTGGATGTGATCTCTTGCCAGCACAGCCATGTTCTGAATTAAAATTTCTCTACAGCTCTGGGGACAGCCTGCTGTTCTTGTGGTCTGCTTCAGAGCTGGGTAGCTCCACACAGTTGCTATTGAACTGCCCCTGCCCTGTCTCCTATCAGCTTGCCAAAGATTGTGCCAGGTTGTGCTGTGGTGTTGGAGACCCGAGTTCGAATTCTGGGGTGCCTCAACTGAATCATTGTCCATTTGGCTCTGTGCTCTCATCAATAAGGCAGGTGTTTATACTTAGGTAGTGGGATTTTGTGAGCACACTGCTAGTGCCTAAATCTTAAGGTATGCTTACTAAGAGCATTAGAAATTCCAGTATTAGCCCATTCTATAGCTGAAATCTATGCACAGCTGCTTTGGTCCTCTTCCTCGGACCAGTGGTGTGGGCAGTGGTCATGTCCTTGGCATTTATAGTACCCTAACATGGCTGTGGGTCTAGTGTGGAAGGTGCACTCTATCTAACCCCTACATGTCTGTGTTTTTTCAGGACTTGTACCCCAGGGCTGCCTGGAGCCTGGGGTTTCCCTGGAGCCAGGGCTTTTTCTGGCAGAAGCCAAGGCTCATCAATGTCATCAGGCCTCTCCATGACCGACGCAAACCAAAGTGAGTGGTAGAGAGGTATAGATGGATGAGGATGGATTGGGTCCTCTCAGCTGCTGAGATTGGAGGAAGGGCTCTGCCCACTCTCTCAGTTTCCCCTGGCAACCCCATCTGGGGCCTGCCGTTTGCAACCCTGTCTCTTCCTCTGCAGCTGGATTCACTGTGGCCACAACTCCATCAGCTATGGCCCCTGGCCTGGGCACTGGGGGCCGGGCATGGCCTGTGCTAGTAGGGGTTGTGCTGGGGGCGGTGGTCCTCTCCGCACTCATCGCGCTGGCTGCCAAGTGCCACCTCTGCCGCCGATACCGTGCCAGCTACCGGCACCGCCCGCTGTCCGGAGCAGCAGGTGGGAACCGCCCACAGGAAGGTGAGGATGAGGATGATGATGGCTTCATCGAGGACAATTACATTCAGCCTGGGGCTGGTGAGATGGAGACTACGGGAAGCAGGGACCACTTCTCTCTCTGAGCCCCATCTTTGGACACTCCCCATTTCCCTCCATGCCTGGCAGTTTAAAAGACAGCATGCCTCAAGCCTCAGGGTCAGAAACCGATAGTACCTAAAGCCTCACCAGGAGTCTGTTTCTCGACACTTAGTTGCCAAAGTGACAACTGCTTCTCAATAACTCTCTGAGGCTCTCTGCTGTCCTGGGATACAGCCTGACAGTGAGTGAATGTGGAGAAACTGGCCCCTGTGAGTAGGCCTCTTGATTTCCTTTCTTTGCCTCCCTCCTCCCTACTTCACTAAGTTTTACCACAGTCACCCACTGCCTGGACTGCTTTGATGTCCCTCATGATGGCAGCCCTAACCACAAGTTCCCAGATTTCACACGTCTCCCGGCAGGAGAAGACCGTGCCAAAATAACTGAAATTTTTTTCTTATCAATAAAGTATGTGACTTGGTTATAAAATATCATGTTGTCCACTGTAATTAATCTGTTTTCATTTTGGATTCACATAAGAAGTCGTTCCTTTACCTAAGCACATTGCTCATAGCTGGTAGAGGCTGCCTAGACCTCCCGTCTTCCAGGTTCCTTCTTGAGCATCTCTCTGGCCACAGTTTGTTTTATTAAAATCATTTTTTTTTTAACTGGTCCAGTGAAATGGCTCAGAAGGTAAGGGGGCTTGCTGCCAAGGCTGACAATCTGAGTTTGATCCCTAGGATCCACATGATGAAAGAAGAGAACTGACTCCCAAATTCTGTCTTCTGACTTTCACATGTGTGTGACAGCCCACTCGTGCCAAGCACAAAATAAATAATTTAAAAAGTATAACAATAAATTAATTGACAATTTCATACATGTGTGTCCTGCATTTTTATCATACTCACACCCTCTCCTCTCTCTCATCCTCCTCCCCTCCCTCTGAAACCCTTCCTCCCTCCACGTCAGCCTCCCGCTTTCATATGATCTCAGATTCTCACACAAGGCAATGCCAGGCAAACATACACAACCCTTTGTATCCAAGGGTTTTGTATTCACAGGCTCAGCCAACTTTGGATGGAAAATATTTGGTGAAAATGCCTAAGCTTTGAGTTTGCTACACACCATTATTTCCTGCTGAATATATGAAAATGGAATAATTTGAAGGCATTCTATTAAGAATCAAAGTGGGCCCAGTGGTGGTAGCGCACGCCTTTAATACCAGAGCCCGGGAGGCAGAGGCAGGAAGATCTCTGTGAGTTCCAGGCCAGCCTGGCCTACAAAGAGTTCTAGACAGCTAAGGGCTGCTGCACGGAGAAATCGTGTCTCGGAAAATCTAAACAACAAACAAACAAACAAACAAACAAACAAACAAAAGAAAGCGGGGCTGGGGAGATGGCTCAATCGCTCTTACAGAGAATCCGGGTTCAGTTCTCAGCTCACACCATGGGTAAGTCCAATTCCAGGGGATCCAATGTTCTCTTCTGGTCTCTTCTAGAACTGCATGCACACACAGGGGGCACAGACGTGCAGGCAAAACGCCACATACATGAAGTTAAAAGAATCAGAAGTATTTTAGACGTGACTTAAAGTACCTGAAAGACTATGGATGGGGTATAAGCAGGCATTGTAAAATTTTGTATAAGGCGCTTGTGTGTATGGATTTTGGTTTCTACAAGGGGCTCTGGGGTAAGGGGTTTTGGGATACACAGTTCCAAGGGACAGTGGTGTTTGCTGAGTGACTGAGGAGTAAATATGGAAAGGGGAGGAAGAGGCAAATCTGGAGGATTTCATCAAGAAGCTTAGTGATGGGAAGGCCAGACGGTCGTGAGCCACCTTTAATCATAGCAGAGACAGAGGCAGGTAATCTTGAATTTAAGGCCATCCTGGTCTACAGAGGGAGTTCCTAGACAGCTGGGGCTATGTAGAAAGACCTTGTCTTGAAAAACAAAAAACAAAACAAAACAAAACCAAAAAAACAAAAAAAAAAAAAAGAAAAAGAAAAAAGGAAAAGAAAAGAAATATAGAGCCAACAAGATGGCCAGAAAGGAAAGTGCTATGTAAGCCTGATAACCTGAGTTTGATCCTCGTAAAGATCTAAGGGATAAACTGACTCCTCTGATCTGTGCACACATGCATGATGATGGTTCATGATGAAGGGAGATTTTGCCAGAGAGGCTACCTTGAGCTGGGAGGGGCTTGAGTTAAGAGTTTTTCATTATGAACAGGAGTCTGGGGAAGGAGCATGGCTTTAAGTAGAAGCACAGGGACAGTTGACTTAGAATGCAGGTTGTCCTGTCCTTGTGGCTAGTGGCTGGCACTGTGCCTGTAGTGCTCTGTCGTTTAGAAGGACATTGATGTGACTCTCCTTTCTTAGAACTTCTAAAACCTTGAACCCAAATTTCAAGCAATCAGAGAAGACACTGGTCCAAGCTGGTTATTGTGCTCATTTCTGATCTAATCAGCCAAGATTAGGATCTAATCAGGAGGATGGAAGGGCCAGGGTCCTGTAGCACACACGGGGGATGGTGCCATCTGTTTATTTCTGATCATTCCCAGACAAGGGGCCATCCTGCTTGTGTCCACCCAGTGTCTGCCCTTGAAGGAGAAGCCCACAGGCAAGAAAAGGGGGTTGGGGGGTGGCTGATGCAGGGAGGGCCTTGAGAAAGGCAAGGATTTCAGACAGGACACAAGGATGTGTCTGAGAGTCCCTGGTCAGCTGTGAAGCTGGAGTGGACAATATTGGTGAGGGCCTCTGAGGCTCAGACAGCATACAATCCAGCTGAGAACAGCTGAGGCTCATCTGTGTCTCTTTTTCTCCCTCTTCAAAATGATAGAAAAGCCCTTGTAAGCCTAGTAAGATGGCATAGTTGGTAAAGACTCGTCTCATGCAAGCACCATGCAAGCCTGATGATGACCCGAGTTCAAACCCTGGAACCCAAATTGAGGTGGGAGGTGAGAATCAACTCCACACAATTGTCCTCTGACCTCCACGTGTGTGCTGTGTCATGTGTGTTCATGCAAACAGACGGACTAACTAATAATAAATACATACATTCAAAGCCATTGCGGCTGAGGAACAGAGAGGGAGTGGAGGAAGAGACAGACAAGTGATGAGACCAGAGAGGTGTGACACAGACTCCAGAAACAGGAAGGGGACAGCGCTGACAGCAGTTGCTGACTCTAGATCCAGGGAGCTTCCCTGGTTTCTGGCTTGGCATCTGGATACAGTAAAGGGAGAGCAGGTTGAGGAATGCCCATTCCAGGTCAGAGGAAGGATTTCCAGAAGGAAATACCCAGGACAGAGGGATTCACCTGGGAGCCATCCAGCCTGGGGTCTTGGGTTTGGGGGTGTCAGCAATGTGGTCTCAGAGAGTAGCAATGTATGAACCAGCTAAAGAGGGCAACTGAGAGGAGATGCTGAAGGGGGGCGGGGGCGTGTTGTAGGGGTTGTCTGAAAGGAAGGGCTTGGCCTGGAGATGGGTGAAAAGAGCTAGAGGAGAGAAGTTTGACTCCCGGGGTTCGAGTTACCAGTTGTTCCTGGGTTCAGAGGTGGTTTTGGCCCTTGAAAGCTTGGAAAGAGCAGAGGCATCTACAGCCTGAGACCCCAAAGGATCCTGAAGAGCAGGCCTAAGGGACTATAGATAAACCCTGGCCTCTGAGGAAAGAGCTGCTGTCTGCCTTCAGCGTCCACTGGGGAGAAACAGTCCTGAGTGCAGTTATGGACCTGTGAGCGGCTCAACTGTCCTAATTTTTACATATGCCTCAAGACATGGGCTGGAACCTCTGGGACCCAGGAGATGCAGGTACCTGATTCAAAACTAGCAATTGCTTTTCTTGCCTACAGCTCTCAAGGTTCCATAAGCCTGGCTTCCTCTCTACTGTTGGATGCCAGGCCTAGCAGAGTAAAACCCTCAAGTCACAGAACCTTGGACCCTATCCTTCTAGGCCTCATTTGATTTGTTGAGGCAACCCGTTTCCAAGGGTTCTGCATGTGTGGTTTTAGGCACAGGGAGGAACCTTGACCTGGGTCATAGGCTTTGAGAGCCACAGGTGCTGACCCATGGAGGAAGAGAGTGACGTCACTAACCTGACCTCTCCCCCCATCTGGCCTCTGCTGGCTTCAGGTGGTCCTGGCCCCAGCTTGCGACTGCCCATTCCTCACCACTGGCCACTACTTGCTCTGCCCCAGAACCCCAAGGCCAGACCTGATTTCAGAGGAGAATCCAGCTTCTTGGCTGCCTCCCAAGGCATGGCCATGTCTCTGCTGTGGGAAGACCAAAGATGAGGGAGGAATTGTGAAAGCCACAGACGCGCAATTTAAGAAACTCCCAGGCTCCGGAGACAGCTTAGTCATAGAGCTTGCTGCACAGACAAGAGGAACTCATGTTGAAGTTCACATCCCAGGCACGTGCTCGTAATCCTAGCAGAGACAGGTGGATCCCTAGAAACCATTGTCCAATCAATTTATCCTACTTGGTGAACATCAAGCCAAGGGAGACACTGTCCCCAAAATCAAGGTGAATGGCTCCTGAGGACACTTGAGATTTGACTTCTGGCACTTACACAAAAGAGCACACATGTGTACCCATGTTTGCATGAATGAACACACACACACACACACACACACACACACACACACACACACACACA